ATATTTATACACATGTGAGCTGCTCAAGTCAGTACATAAAGTCTCGCTCTCACACCGACGTCCCGTTCTTACATGGATTCACTTATATACCACCGTCCGTTCTCTCTCTCGCTGTACGAATTTACGAGTTTGTGTACGATTTTTTCGGGGAGAGTCTCTGTGTTGGAGCGAAAAAAATTGATTGTATCATTTTTTTTCGAGAGTGAGATGGTTGCGAATTTTTTTCACAGGCAAACTCAAACATTTTTCCCGTGCGCCTCTGCAAACTGTGGTAGGATTTTAAAATTAATTTCTCTTTTTGGGTGGCGGAACGCTCAGCAAAATTAAAGAGGCGCGCATTTAGCAGGGAGAGGAGAGTGCGATCCAAGGGGAGCAATCTTTGCCGCCCAATTGTGTCACATTTGCACTCTTCATTGACGAGAGGCGCGCCCCCCTTGTCCCTCCGGCCAAGACGTGTGACGGAGGTGTTTTGGATGGCCGCTAATTTGGCTGGGTGGCAAGAAACAGTCTGGCACTTTTCGGGGGAGACCGACTCATGCACCACCACAGCCGCTCTCGTTTTCTAACCCAGTCGTGTGGGTATTCTCTCTGTACAGAGGCCCAGCACTCGAGTATTAGCGCACATACAGACAAATCCCCCGAAAAAAAGTAAAATAACCACGGGAACTCAAAGAAAGGTCATTTATAATATTTTTTCGAATATATACATGTATATGAACGCGGACGTGAATCGTTGAAAAAATGAATTTTTTCGGGTTTATGGCGTTCTATGGCGGTGGATGGAATACGACACGGAAAGAGTGTGCGCGAGAGAGAGACGGGAAGAGTGGCTCGCACTCTGTAAATTACTATACATTCTGTCTCATGATCTACACATTAGATTGGTAACCATGTGTGACTGACTGAGTGACTCTCTGATGGCTTTTCTGCTGACTTGTACACGATTTTTTCGTGAATAACTCCATTATAATCCCCCCAGAGAGCACACAATATGCTGAAAATGCGACTTCGCCACCGACTATTCGAGTCTCTCGGCCACACGAGAACCTGCCTTTGACTATCCTTGCCATCCTCTCGCCTTTCCCATTGGACCGCCACTGGCCTCACTGGTGGAGAGCCTTCACTTCCCCCTTCAGTAATAATCTCGCGAGAACCGCGAGAAAAAAATGCCCTTTGCCAGGGTCCAAAATCTTCGTAATGACTTTTTAATTAATATAGCGCGCATGACGTCATGGCAATATCTGTTTGATGACACTATAAAAAATACCAGGAATCGGGGCTTGATTGTATGCTACTCCAGTCGCAAGAGATAATCTTACAATATTGCTGGTGTATATAAATTATGTGTGTTTTACTTTTTTTCAGCGCTGTTCATGTACAGCATTCTGGGTTAGCCAAAAAGCATCGAACCTTATCTCTGTGCCTCAAAGTTTGGCAGTTTCGCCGTGCCTCTCGCACTCCTTCTCGCTCTCTCACTTCGGCTCATGCGAGGCTCTTGGGTCTTTTGGGTCAACCTGTGGCGATACCGAGCCTCGTCCCAAGAGAAACCAAAAACCCCAGCAAAAATGCATACACCGAAATCTCTTCCATCTTTTTTGTTCCTTCTGTTTTTTTTCGGGCTAAGTCGCATTCCCATATAGTCTTCGGATACACTGGTGGGCAGAAAAAGTGTGACATGAATTTTTATAAAATCATTTTGGCTCATTTCAATTAAACCGGTCCCAATTGAAAGTTATTTGAGATCCGAGAAATTATTTATAGCAGTGAATATCATGCAAATACCACAGTATCGGATCAACTAATGAAAACATTGCACAATTCAGAGGCGATGAATATTGTAATATATTGTTTAATAAAGCCAGCAGCGATCCTACTTCTCGGTAAACCACTGTATGAGCGCACAGTACACACATGTATACACTTCTAAAAGCCGCCAGAAAAAATGCATTTTTTCCATCCACACAAAAACCGAAGGGAAAGAGACGAGAGAGGAGATTTCTAGGGGTGAAGACTCAAAAACGTCAATAAGAATTTGTTATCTCATCGACAAATCACTCAAGACTGTGCGCTGGTCAGCCGCATTCTCAGAAGTTCCTCGAAGCTGCGTGATGCACACATTTTCCTGGTCAAGTGAGAAAGGCAGGGATTTCGGACGCGACGCCCAGGAGACTCGCCGTGCGTCAGGCGGCGCAAAAGAGAGAGCCGAGCGGAAGTCAGAGAGATGCTGGCCAGTGGGAAAGCCAACTGTGAGAAAGGCGCATAGACTCATTAATAATTTTCTGAGCTGCGCGATCGCGAAGAGAAATTCGAAGCGCTCCAGGGTATCATCCTCATGACTTCGAAAAAATATTAACCATATGTTTAATTGCTCAAGAGCCTCCAAATGTGTTGCCGTTCGCCGCTCGACTGGCCCATATGAGCGCAAAACCACTGAAATTGCTATTCGACAGAACCGCCATCAGCCATGAGCTCTGCCTGCCGCTCCGTGTCCGGCAGTTGGGGGTGGGCAAATGTGCAATTGAGACCCCTTCGTAACGACAAACTTGGGAGTTTGCACATCAAACACGCTGACTCCACATGTGTCCACTTCCAACTGACAATTAATGTAATTCGTGGGACAAGAGCCGCGCGATATAGCGAATAGTTAGGCGCTGCGGCGCCGTTCAATATTTCAGGCCGCTCTGCACACGCATCTCGATGACGAAGCCGCAAACACCACAGAGCCATCCCAAGCCGAGCATGTTTTAATATCATTTTATAAACTCACACACATTTTTCTGCCCAAAATCCACACAGCGATACCCAACTTTTCTACCATCAAAATGACGCCTTCTCTCGTTTTTAGAATCATTCTTGCGTCACGTTAATAATATATAATAATGTGCTTCGGAAATGTGTATGAAAAATGTCTAAGAACGCCACGATACGGCATTAGACAGTGTATTCCGGCCGCGTAATTGTGGAGGGCAGAGTCTGGGTTCAGATGGTGCCTCCCAAACGTTTAGTTCAAAGGTTCTATGTTGAATTTTGATAATTATATTTCGGCAAGAGATCTGTTGAATTTTCCACCGCCACTCATTTTCACGCATCACATCTCGGAAACGACCATGAAGGGCATGACTAGTCAGAACCCGTGCAAACTTCTGACAACAGGCGCGCTTCAGCGCCCAACTGTCCTAATACTGTGGTCTTGGCAAAAGTGTTGCCTCACTTTTCGTACGCGAAAAACGTGACCAGAACTAGAGAGATTTGCGCCAAGTGTGGGGATGATTATTCGCATTTGCCAGGCGACTTTTGCAGTGACTCAATGAATATCTCAAATTCCAATTGGACGCCCATTACTTGTCATTTCGCCGCTTCCAATTCAAAGTTGGGGGCAGGAAGACATCTGAAATTAATCTCTCAACCCACCTCTGCACACCCCCATCCGCAATGCTCCCGAAATCCACGTACACTTCGAGAAGACAAGAGACTCGTGCAAAGGCGCGAGAAATGAAGTGTCTGAAAATGTTTTTCTTCAGTCACTTTTTCTATTTTCGACACACATTTTTCCCGCAAAGACACATCGTTACATTTGGAGGATTGTTAAAAATAAAATCCATTCCGTACACACATTTTTTCTTCGCCTTTTTGACAAGTCTCTCGAAAAAAATAATTTCGTTGCTTCGGAATGCATGTGTTGTGTGCGCTTAGGGAAGTTGTGTGGGTTACATTTTGTGTGATCACGGGAGAAGAAAAAGAGGCGAAAAAGTATGGATTCTCAGCACGAGGTCAGGGCACCACAGACTCATGGAGAGTCCCAGAAGATTGGGCTCTGGAATCTAGCGTGTCCAACTCACTCTTCTTCCCCAGATAGCTCAAGGGATGGCGAGTTATTCTTAATTTTTTCTCCTTCTTTAAACCCCTGCACGATGGAAAACTTCTTAGCGCTCATTGAACGGCAAAAACATCTTTTCATTTTGAGATTTAATTAATTTTGCCGGAGCTCTTCCTTCGCACTCTTTTGTTTATTCGACAGGCAAACACTAATTTTTTTTCCTCCCACCCAACCAAAGGGGATCAGACAAAGTAAAAAAAATCGTCTCAAACAGAGGGGTTGAGCAGTGACGTAGTGATTTCCCTAGAAAATAACATTCTGATTTCCTAGCAAGTTCTCTCAATTCTCTGCAAAGTACATTTCGTTTCAAAAAAGTGAATACATGATGATAATTTGTGGCTTGTCGGCCAGATTCCAAAGATTTTTCGCCGGGAAATTCTTTTTTCCCTGCGAAAGTCCAGAAATGAACGAAAAAGTTCAATCTGAGCTTATTTTATGCAACTAAATGTGCTTTAAAGGATTAGTTTCATGCAATTAGTTGCATTCTACATTTGTGGTGCTTAGATTTCAACACAAACTATCGTAGATAGAATTCGTGGCTAAGAAAGTGAGTGAAGAAAAAGAGAAAAGTGGGTAAACTAAGGGAATTCCTGCAATAATTTCTCGAGAATTCCATCAAGTGAAATCACGTTATCTTTTTATGACTTGTAGCCTGCAATCTATGCATCGGAAAGCCATGCCCTAAAACCATTTCAAAACGCCACCACTGGGGTCGCAACCCCTGCGAGTCCCGGACGATTTGGGCGCTTCACGACCCTCTTGGCGCGATGTGTGCAGGAGGGCCAGCGGAGTGACGCAGTCGTGAATTGCTGCGGACCTCGAGTGGGTTGGGGGCCGGCCAGAGGGCGAGAATTCGTCAGTGGGTGGCGTCCGTGGTTCTCCCTGTGGCGCTCTCTTTTTCAGCACTTTTTCGCCTCATCTCTCCAACACAACCTCCCCGGGCGCGGGTGTGTGCGTGATTTTTTTCGTTTCGCTTCCGAAGCGATTTTGCATGTTTGAGAATCGTGGAGGTTTTTTTCGGGCTGGCAGTTATTGATTTCGGGGGAAGTTGTGCCCGCACATGCTCTAGTTCGGCGACGGCGGGGTCGGGGACTGCCGCGGGGCAATGGGTGAAAGCAATTACCTTGGACTCCTGCATCTGGGCGTCGGAGATGGAGAGGGGGGTCGGCGGCGTCGACGGGGTGCTGTAGGGCTTCTGGTCCGGCTGCTCGGCGTTCCCGGGGTGTCTCATGTCGGTGGGATCGCCGTGGTTGGACGCCCCGTCGGCGGGGGCGCTCCCGCCATTCTGGCTGCCGCTGCGCCCGTCTATCACCTTGGCACCGTAGTCGAGGCGGTCCGGCGTCCGCAGGTCGCTCACATTGAAGGGCTTGTAGTCGTGCACGAGGCTGGCCCGCAGGTCCGTGGACGTGAGAGCACCGAGTGGCCCGAGCACGCCGCGCTCGTTCATGGATCGCAGCTGATCGATCGAGCGATGGATGTGACTGTAGTCACCCGCTGGTATCTCCGCCATCAGGGGTGAGTTGTGGTAGTCCAGCCCACCGCCGGGCCGGTACTCAATCGCGCGCCCCTCCAGGGTGTTCCTCGCGCCCAGCGGAATCCTCAGGACACCACTCAAGATCACACACTCAGTCGCCCGCAACTATCAATGGCGCGATCCAAGTCCCGGCGAAGGCACATAGGAGAGCAACAGGACCAAGGCACTCGACTTCCGCGCTCACACTTCACACCAGACCAAAAAACCCGGGCAATCTAGTTGGCCGTGCTGATGCAACAAGAATGGCAAGTCGAACGCGCGGAACACACTCCCATTTGTCGGTCACTAGGATATATTCTTGTGCGACTGTTCTGTGCTTGCGAGCGTGGTCTGTTGCCAGCAGAGAATTCAAATAGTCACTGATGGCAAGATCCACTTGTCGAAATCGCGCGAGAACTTGAAAGTTTTTTCTCGTGTGTGCGGCACGGTGTGTCCCAGAGCGTCTTCGGCACTCAACAGTGGTGGGATGAGGCACAGGTAGTCCCCCGTAGCCGATAAAAACAATCAACACCAAATCTCACAATGGCTAGCAGTACGGTGACTGTGAAAAAACGCACTGCAGACGTGTGCTGATCATTGCGAAGCAAAAACTCGACTGGTTTAGAAAAAGTTTTGGTCCTCAAAGTTTGTTAGGCGAGATCTTGCGTCGTTTTGTATGTTTTAAGAGTGTTGCCTCGTGTGTGTGAGGAGTGAAAAAAATTCACGGGGGAGCGAACAGGAGTGAGCGAGCAAGAGAATCCCCCTTGCCAGAGCCGACATGCACACAGCCGAACAATTTTTACACAATTAATCGTAACACAGGCATAACCTCTTCGGCGCGATTTTTTCGCCCAACACCACCAAAGCTTCCCCGGATACGGGCATGTGAGCATGTGTGCGCGCACCGGTGGTGGGATGAGTGGATAAAAAAGAAGAACTTTTGAAAAAGAATCACACTTATCAGTTTTTTGGTCACATGGCCGCGAGTGCGAGCGAGACAACCGGTGCTGCCGCCGAAAACGGAGCGCATTTTTATTCCCAGAGACACGCACGCACACACCGCCAATTTTTTCCTCCCATTCTTTTTTAATGGATTGCGCTCACTTCCTCGCCCCGTCTCTATTTTCCAAAGCACACACTCACGAGATGTTGGCGCACTTTGTCAAGCTCACACACTCGCGCGCCATCTCGCTCGCGCCCTCTCACTCACACTCTCCGCATACCTTTTCTGCCACACAGGAGCTACATTTTCTTACATCCCGCCGGTGGAAAAGGCTCTCTCCGCGCCCAAGGAAAACCTCAGCGTCGAGAGCGAGAGACGTCCGGCTGGAAAAAATGCTCCCGAGAGGGGAAGTTACAGGCATTCTCTTTGGCGCGTCGCAATTTTTAGACGTTTCTTTTCGACGAGATGAGTGGGGTTAGAGCTGCAGACCCACTGCCCTCACACATATGCCACTCGACATACACACACACACGCGCGCCCAGCGGCTGCCGAAAAGAATTCCCCAAAAAAACGCTCGTACACTTGATGCTCCATTACGTAATTTCCATGGAAGAAAAGTTTTGCGAGAGGGGAGTGCAGTGTGTGGACAAAGCGAGGGGGAGTGGTGCCAAAGTGGTGGAGGGGCGCTTTTCAAAAATGTAATTCTTTTGGGGTTTTAGCGATTTGCACTAGAAGCGAACATCTCTTCACGAAAAAGTTAAATAAATATTCCACAGAGCGGTGATGAAATGTTGGCAAACATGCTGGCAAATAATTGGAAAATGATTTTAAGCCATCTCATTAAAATACCGGTCTTATTGAGACAGATATTTGTTTTAATTTCATGCAAATCTCGTGCAAGATTTTTATTTTACCTGCTGAACCCACTCGACTGATCGACGATAACTATAACTTGATGTGATATTAAGAAATAAACCAAAAAACGATCATATTGACATCATAAGTCAAGTTTATGAATTTGATGGTGAATTTTCAATAAAGCCATGCACAATAATGGTGATTTTATTTTGCGTCAGCTTCTCAAAACCGGAAGAAAATCACAGGTCTATTGAGGGTAAGTTCAATTTCTTCCGATTATACCTCTTAACATTAATACTAATAAAAGCTAATGAAATTATTACACTCCTACAAATTACTCAAATAGAGCACTTCAGAGTGCAATTTTTTTTTGTGAAAATCAGGCTCAATTCCAAAATGAAATAATAATCATAAATTGTGCTCGATTAATGAGATGTCTTCAAATACCAGGCTATTTTCTTTCGTCCAGCACGTTTACAAAAAAAGATGGCACGCGTTTTCATTATGTTACTCATCACCTTTTTCCCATCGAGTAAAAATAATGGTTTTTTCCCTCAATCGTCCACCAAATAAAATTTATGAGTGAGTGAGGCGCGAAGTTTAATAAATTTTGAGCAATAAAGAGAGTTGAAAAAATCTAAACAAAAGTCTCTTTTTTTCCAACATTCATTTTTCTGCTGACACGGAATGCTAAAAAGAGAACCCAAATCAGCACTTGTGCTTACCTTTAATTTTAACTCTCTTGTTTTTCGCCTTTGCGTACCTTCACTTGGGTGTCCAGTGTAAAAAAGAATTTCCCACCAGCTTTTTTTGTCTCACCTGGCAAAGTCAGGCAAATGACGGAGGAAAAAAAACCTCAACGCCGTCGCGAACGAAACTTCTTCGCAATTAAGCACCAACCGTCGCGGCATCATTTAATTGTTTATCATCAATTTGTCATTTATGCGTGAGTGTTTCGAATGTATCCGCATAATGCAGATACTTAAAACATTGTTGCCCGCAACATTAGCATGGCGTGGAAAAAGTCGGTGGTTATTAATTGAATCTCAAGATTCCTCTCGACATTCTAACTAAGCGTTGCCCAACGTGCCGAATTCAAAAAGTGATTAGAGTGGTCCGCGGCTCTCCACCCAAAATCTCTCTGGTGCCTTCCAAACAAGCACTTACAAATTGGACGATTATAATGATATTTAATTACGTGCTGCGATACATAATATACAATTATTTCATTATTTATACTTGGCGTGAGAAATTTTTTGGCCGGCGAAAAACTTCTTGTTTATGATACTTGACCAAGATATCCGAGTGGAATTGTCGAGTGAGATTTTCGGCTGTGATAAAGCCGTAATGACATTCTTCGGATTCGAAGAAAGTACATTTTTCCTCTTCGCATTGGCATGTGTTTTCAACTTCTCGAAAAATTGGGCATATTCTCTGCAATAAACTCGTAAAAATTTCGTGAAATCTCATCCCTTTGAACCTCTGCCGATGCCTCAGAGGTCCCGAGAAAGGGTTACGTCCAGCACCCCTACATGGTTGGTATGCAAAAAAGTGGCGGGGGAAAAAATTAAAATTGTCGCTCATCCTTCGCACGAAGCGTGCACTTGGGTGCAAATTGCCCAATATCCCAAATGTGGTTGTAATTCGGAGAGTGGTCGGGTAGGTAACGAAAAATGCCATAAAGGCGTAAAAGAATAAACAGGCTCTAAAATAGTTCTTCGCTCGCAATAAAGTGTGTGGATGAGGTGTACCAGGCCTGAGTATAGTTGCAATAAAAAGAAGCGCGATGGCAAGAAGCACCGAAAGGGTTTTACTTTACAACAAACGATTCAATTTGTGAGTTGTAAGCCCGGGTTACTTCGGGGGCCCAGCTTTTCGGTCGTAATGGAATGACGAAGCACTCTGCGCGTCAATTCTTCCGTTCGTGGAACAAGTTTCTGGGATTGCTGAGCCAGAAGAATATATTGTAATTACTGGGCGGTGGGACAGTGATTCATCTACATTCTAATTTCTGGGGCTCAACCAAAAATGCCCATCGCGGCGAAGTTCATTCGCACTAATTCACTTAGAGCAGATGAACCACACAACTATTCACTTCCAGCAGATCCACCCGAAAATTAATCGAATCTGCAACGATCGGAGAGCTTCAATTTCACGCGGACAAAAAGTGGCCTCTCGATGGCCATTGTATAAATTGTCTTAAAGCCTGGGATGATGACCGATGATATGGAGACTCGAGAGATGAGATTTGGATGTGGGCTATCGCTTCATCAAACTCTATGACTTGAATTGATTGCCACCGTTCAGGTACCAACTAATTGGTTATTAGTCTTTGTCTATTCATAACTCTTGCAGGTACTTTTCATGCTCCATCTCAACCTGCATTGCGTGAGAGAGAAATTTCTAAACTCATCGCCGGCAAACCATGTGTAATCTGAAACGTTTTATTCTGTAATCACAGAGGAATATAATAATTGTACATTTTTGATAAACAAATGGACAAAAGTCACGAATTCGATGTGACTAGTTTAGAAAATTTCCAACACAGTTCGAGCAGTTGGAGAAGTATGAGAGCTTTTCAATTCCTCTGGATCAATTGCTTTCCTCCAGCGTGGAAAATGATCGATTCGGAAGGTAGAGAGCTCAATAGTGGGACGCACGGCGTAATTCTGGATTACAATTTGGAGGCTCTCTAATTAATGCTCAAGACCTCAATATGCTGAGGTTAGATCATCACCACTAGGAAGTGGGTTCTCGAGTGGCTCTCGCGTAATTGACCACCACTGGGAGTCTTCTGAGAAGATTACTTTGTACATGGCAATTATGCATAAAAATGAGTGAGTTGAATGCTTCGCGATGTCGAAGCATAATGCGACGATGTTGTGGATATGTAATGTCCAAAAATCTCTGGCAATTAGCATTGTGAAATCCTCACACACGAGCGAGATAATGATATAATTTTTCTGATGGACACAGCATAGACTCAAGGACGGGTTGAGAGACGGTGTCTAAAGTTTTTGGGGCTTGAGCGTTTTGGTATGGATCGCAATTACGTGTTTTTTCAGTTTGGAGAGAGCGAGAGAGAGAGAGTGATTATGATTGTTCTGGTTCTGGCGTCCATGCACGAAAATCTCCGTGAGATGACCAAACTAAATCATCATCATCAGCATGCAATCAGCAATCAATTTACCATCACGACTCAACTCACTTTTCTGGGCATTTCGATGGAGCTGCCGAACGGCCGGGCCTTTTTCATTGGGGGCAACTCAGCGGCATGCGATGTCGATGGCTCTCGGGAACCCGCCAAGAAAATCATCCAATACTCTGTCGGTATTCACCGAGAGCTATAATAATAATTAGGCTGCTTCATAAAACCAACCAACTTTTGGTACATTCGACTAGTCTGATGCTGGTGAGGAAAAAAGTCTTTCAACTCACCAGAGTTTGGAGATGAAGGAGAAAAAATTGTCGCAAGGTGATTCAAAAAAGGCCCTCATGTATCTCAAAGCAGGGACTCACCCCTGAATAGGAAAAAAATCGTTGAGGACCTCCGTGGCCTCTGCACACATGCACGCAGAATTTACAAGGAGTGAAAGGATCCCTTGTCGTGAGTCCCTTTCACTGGCAAGAAGACATCGATATCCATCACATTTCTCCCTTTTTCGCCACACATCTACCATGTCTTCTAATGTCCTTAAGCGAAGGACACGAGTAAAAACGGAAAATCACTGACACGGACATTTCAATTCAACGCACTACCACATTTACATGTTTCGACCATATCAATTTTTGGCCGCGTGCAAATAAGGCAAAAACATACGACGAGCTTAAGAAATCAGAATGATTAATTTGAAGTGTGATTCTTGCGATAACCGCCGAGGAATGGATATGAATTTGCATAGCGCACGAGTGGTTAAGCTTACAGCTTGTCTCAATTCTATAGCTGCGACTCTTTCAATTGAGCGCAGATCACAGTAAAAAACGGTCAGTTAATGGAACCTATTCAACCCCCTGAATACCATTCGCATGAGCTAGTACACAATGGCGAGAGGAGCAGCGAGTGAGGAATTAAATCGAGCAGAGCCGAATTTGCGTACTTTTCATTACCCAAACATCGCGAGTCCTTGCCGACTTGAGGCGAGAATGCTCACAGGATTGCCATTGAGGGCCTGCTTCAGCAATATTTGCATGAATAATTGGTGCAAAAATACTTGGGGAGAGATCAGCCAGCCGTGTGTGAAGGCATAATAAGTAAGTGGACAAGGGTTGGATTGATGAATCCACGATTGTGCATTATTCATGGCATCCACACACGTTTTACAGTGACGAAGCAGATCCTGGCACCAAAATCTGGTGACGCAATTCTTTCTCGTCACCCTGTCGAGTGTGTTGTTCATAGAAAACGTATTTTCGTGATCCATCAAAAATCTCTCGATATGAGAGTCCAACGAGCACTAATTTTTCGATGGTAGCATGAGATTTCAATTGGACGAAGTATCTCAGCTCAGGGGGTTGATCAGTAGGATTTTCTGGAC